TTTAAATTGAGAAATTCGAAATAATTTCTCAAAAATATGCTTCTCTAGGTTCACGTTATGTGTCGGGTCACGAAAAATATTATTTGATCTTGAGTTGGATTAGGTCACAAAAAATAATAGTTGATCAAGTGTAGGTATCGATCACGAAAACTTCGCGTATATCAAACACTGACATGAGAAAACTATTTACAATAATGAAAATCTGTTAATGTAGCTTCTGCATTAGTTTTCATCGTTCATAGTTAAAAATTTATGGTAGCATTATTTTTTTTTTAGCAAATAAATTTTTCATAGGATAAGTACCAAACTACGCTGTTTATCTCTAGATTTCACTATTGGATTGATTATTTAGGTTGAGTTGATTTTCAATGTACATAGATTCTACCACTAACGACTAGTATATTATTCTTTGTACAATCATCAATCTTGATCATGTCAATTCCAGTTACTGTCTTTATGAGTTTGGACACACTTGTGTACATCTAACGAATTTGAACAGTATGATATTTCTCATCTTTCTAATTATCATCGAATGCAACTATGACATCTTGTATGTCACTCTATCAATATTTGTCCTCTTTGATTGTAAAAACTTTTGATGATCGAGTTCTTTTTTTTTTTGACTCACCTATTATTGACAATATTTCACAATCGATTCGGTTTTTTTTAAAGTTATGATGAAATTTTATTGATTAAAAAGAAGCAAAGAGAATTTTTTAAGATCAAGAAGAATAACATAAAGAAAAGTAGAAAAATGAATTTAAAAACTGTTCAATGCTTTAATTTTGTCAATGATAAATCGATTCAAGGTCTGAAAGGTGAAGATATATCCTTTCGCTCATGAATATCACATGTGGGTTTATATGGTGGAATTTGCACTTGTTTGCATGGCCCAGCTGGTTTGACCCGATATACGAAACCAATTTGGGTCTTTGGACAAGACCAGACGACCAAGCAGGATTCACAATTTTTGTTAGCCCGTGCCTGCCAAAATTTGTCATGAGCTTGTTTATTTTGTTGAAATTGGTTCCAATATGGAGCATATGGTGCTAACGGAGAAACATGCCCATTAACTCGGCAGTTTACTCGATAGTGTTTTCTTCCGTTGTGACCATTTTCTTTGCTGTGACCACTTTCTTTGCTGTTCTTGCTATCTTTGCTGTGACCACTTTCTTTGCTGTGACCACTTTCTTTGCTGTGCTTGCTATCCTTGCTGTGACCACTTTCTTTGCTGTGCTTGCTATCTTTGCTGTGACCACTTTCTTTGCTGTGCTTGCTATCCTTGCTGTGACCACTTTCTTTGCTGTTCTTGCTATCCTTGCTGTGACCACTTTCTTTGCTGTTCTTGCTATCTTTGCTGTTACCACTTTCTTTGCTGCTACTACTTTCTGTGTTGTCATTTGTGTACTCTACTACAAGACAATCACATTTACCATTGTGGAGCGCGTCATAATCGTCTTTAGTCACATCCAGTTGAACAGTCGCGTCTTCGCCATCATCACAAGCAATTTGAATAAACAATACTGCAGCAACGAAGCATGAAATCGTTAATAGTCGATACATGATGTGCGAGAATATGGAAATTATTTATATGAATACAAAAAGACGATGTTTAAACTAAACTTACTGTGTTGTTGAGAAAGCCTGTATATTACTTGTGTATTTATACCTATGATTGCATTTGCATATGAAGACTCAATGAAGCATGAAACCATTGTGTAAACATGATATTTTGTTAGCTGATAATTCTAATGAATAGTAATGAATGATTTTTAGGCTTGCCTTGACATGAGAGGGTAACGAAAACAAAAATATAAATGACGCCTTAGGTGACCTTTCAAACAATGTTTTTGATATTATAAAAGAATGATTATTGTTGTTGTAAACATTAGTGTCATTGTATGTTCATCTATGCTAAGATGCATTCTTTTGTAGAAGAATATCTCTTATCATTTATAGTGACGAATTAAACATTCATACAACTCCATTTTTAATGCAATGTTCTAGCGTACATGATTGATATATTTGACATAATTTAATTCTCTCCTTTTATTTATTTTTAATTTAATTTTAATTTAAAATTTAAATCAATTTAAGTTTGATTTGATTTGATATTATAGTTTATTTATTTAAATTTAAAATTTAGAAATTGTGACGTTTCGTATCTCGACAAGATACTTCATCAGACATAAAATTTTAAGACAAATGACATGTGCATACAAACAAATTTTTTTTTTCTCTTTTCTTTTAGTATTAGTCATACTTTTGATAGTGATACGGAAAACAAGACGGTAATAGTAATAGCTAGCTAAGGATTGAATCCTTTTCCGTGTCACTATCACCGTCTTGTTTTTCGTTAAGTTTTTGTTCTTTTGTATTTGTTGTAATTTTCTCGAGCTGATTCGATCTTTCGTTGAATTTGATGTTTTGCTTTATGTAATATTGGTGTCCATGCTTCATTAATTTCGTCATGTGTATTTACTGACTCACTTATTATTGAATATATTGCTTCTTTTGTGCGTCTTTTCCAGTAATCTTTTTCTTCTTCAATTATAAATGCATCATTTGTATCAAGTAGGCATTGAAATTTCTTTTCTTGAAAATGTTTAACCATTTCTGAATTACTATTATTTTCATTATCATTTATGGTTTATGAATGTTGTTTCATACGATTATCTATACCTACTTTTGTTTGTCCAACATAGGTTTGTTTACATGAGCACGGGATTTGATATATAACAGATTTTGATGGAACTTTTAATGATTGATTAAATTGTGATTCTAGTTTGTATGGATAGGAAAAGAACAGTTTGATTTTTAATTTCTTTTCAAGTCTTCTTTTAAGTACTTCCATACCAGGAGCATATGGTAATGTTAAACTACAAATAAATTCATTATTATTTTTATCTTTAATCTGACCGGTTGTATCATCGTTTTTATCATTGGATTTATTTTTATTTGATTTAAATTCTTGACATGTTTGTTTTATTAATTTTTCAATTTCTTTTAACGGGTAATTTGATTTTAATAACATGTTTTTTAATTTATTCAAATCTTCTTGTTGATCTTTGTTGTCTTGAGTTGTTTCTAAAATCCTTGTAGCCATGTTTTTAACGATGTTATTTTTGATGGATTTTCCATGACTTGATTCATAATTTAATAATCTATCTGCAGCTGTATCTTTTCAGAACCATCTAATTTTAAGTATTATTTCATTATTTATTAACTTTTTTGTTAACATTGTATCAAGATAATTTATTTGATCATTTTGTTCAAATTCTGAGGTAAATTTAATTGTTCCACGTATTTTATTTAAATAATGTACATATTTTTCCAATTGTGGTTTATTCATTTTTGTAATGATTAAAATATCATCAACATATCTCCATATTTTGTTTGGAATGTTTACTTCATGTAAATGTTGTTTTTTATATTCATCCATGTATATGTCGGCTAATATTGGTGATAATGTATTTCCCATGGGTAAGCCTGTTTTTTGTTTGTAAAATTTACCATTAAATTGAAAATAACTGTT